TCCAATCTCCCCCCCCCATTCTCAGGTGCTGCCCCGGGCGATGTAGAGAGCTGGAAACCCCCGTCTTGATTTAAAAAGGAGCCCCCTCCCTGTCCCCCCCCGGCCCTTTTTTCCCATCTCAAGCGCGAATCCAGGCTGGGTGGGTCTCAGCCCTCCTGTGAACCTCCCACGGTCTTTGGCAGTTGGGATGAGCGGGTTGTGTGAACCCGACCCGGGGGTCTCAAGGCATCAGCAACACTGGCTGGCGGGAGAGCCTTTTCTTTGAGTGCAGGCCTAGCTTGAATCCCTGCATCTTCTGGCAGAATTGGGTTGGGGGCTTCTCGTTCCCAAAACTTTGGGGAGTGGCTGGGATTCCCCCACCCCCTTGCCATTGAATTGCCTTGCTTTAGTAACAGGGAGGGGAGAAATAGGAGATCCACGGGGTTTAATTTTAGTTTGGTTTAATTTCATCTAAATTTATATCGCATCCAATTAGTTACCGTATCCGCGGCAAGAGCCACAGCAAACCATGAAGGGCCCAGAAGGTGCACAGTGGCATATCGTGTCAATGCTGCATTTATGTGCTCATGTCCTAACGTCCAGCGCGAGTGCATAAGAGCATTTGCATCACAAGGCCATTGCCCAGATTCTGTCATTTGTCCCCATTGCAAACAATCCCTCTTCTCCCCATGGCCTCTTCGGGGTCCCCACTCTTTGGAACCTGGTCCCTGGCTCAAAGGCATTTGCCCCCCAATTAAAAAAGGTAGAAGGTCATTGGTTTGACCCTCAGTACCATTTAAAAAAAAAATCCGGTGGCCTGCAGAAAGCAGAGCTGAAGGTCATGGGCTAGGCTGGCACAACCTGCCCGCTGCGTTCGCACAACGCACTAAATGGATGAATGTTAACCTTGGTTTATTTTTTGTGATGTAGCTGATCTGGCGGATCCAGTCCATTTAGTTTCTGAGTCACTGTGAGTTGTATGAATCAGTTCACTGATGGGATTGATTTTCATGTAGAATTCTTATTAGGGCAATTACTATCCTCTGTGTTTTTTTGTAATTTAATGAGTTTTTTTTTTTAATCCGCACTCAATCGCACTCAATTTAATGAGTAGGCCTGATATTTCTCCTCTTCTGTGGACGTTTTGATTCTGTCCTTTGATTGTTGTGAAGTGCTGTGGAATAAAATAGCAGGTCCTGTGAATGCGGCCACAGCCTGTTCGAGTTTCATCACTGGGGTTTCTCTCCTACCCATCATCCTTGTCCAGGAGAGGCCTCCGTGTCCTTCCGTGGCCGAAGCCTGAAGGGCAAGCAAAGCTCCCTTCCCAAAGGGTACGTTGGGTTAGTGCTGGAAGAGACCGCCTTACTCCTAGCCTCCAAGGTGAGTTCCACCCTGGGGTTGAGTGGGCAAACAGATCCCATGCTTCCCGCCAACAACCACCCCCTTTTCCCTCCCCTGTACCCAGGAACGGGAAGTGAGTGTGAAATCAACCTTCGATTCCCTGACGGTGTGGAACCTCGAACGGGCACCAACTAACAGCGATGAAATCCTCATGGCTCTTGCTTGGCCAGCAATTGCGCAAGGGGTAAGGGTTAGTGGCCCTCAGCACAAGGGGTGGGGAGGCCTCCAGACTATAACTCCCAGAATTCTTCAGCCTACCTGAGAATTCTGGGAGGGGAAGTCCACTCTGGTTGGAAGGCACCCGGGTGTCCTTAAGCCGGCTTGATCCTGAATTGTAAAGCGGGGTGCCACCCCAACAAAGACTGGTTTCACAATCTGCATTAAGCCATGTGGGGTTGTTTTTGGACGTAACTAGTTTGGGTAATGCAAATGGGAGCCACATGCTTTAAAAAATGCACACTCGGAGAGACAAAACAGTTTTGCCGGGGTGGGGGGAGTGCTGGTTTTAAGGTAAAAATCAGTTCAGGGAACAAGCAAAGGCTGAGCTGTGTCACTGAGGGCTAGAAACTTGATCTCTGTGGGAATTTGCCCTGCTACATTTTCACCTTTCTTACTCTGAGTCCTACCTAGTAGGATTATGGGAGTCCATTCCTATTCCAAAGACATTTTGGCACATTGTTTGTGACTGATTTGTTTCTATAGCTGGGGAGGGGGTA